GCACGTAGTCTGTGACATACAATTTGGCACCTTTTTTGTCGTTATATCAAGTTATTTTTGTGCTTTCCTCATAGTTTACCTAAACAGTGCATGTTTTCGTGTGTTTTTAAGCACGAATGTTAAACCGATACAAGTGTATATGACAAATTTAGTCAAATCATCTTGTACGCGATGTTATACATTTGTTGCTGTAGCCCGATTTTTAAGTAAGGTATACCATTCGTGCTTAAAAACACATGAAAACATGGCAAAATCATACCCTGTTAGGTGAACTATGAGGAAAGCGCAAAAAACTTGATATAACGACAAATAGGTGCCAAATTGTATGTCACGAACTACGTGCATCAGCAAAAATGCCGAAAAGATTTTCCTGTGACCTCTAAGTTTGACCTTTGACCTAGGGACCTGGTACATGTGTCTAACACTAGATCTTACGGTGGTAAACATTTATGTGAAGTTTCATTGGAATCCTTGCATAAATATAGGATATAATAGGATATAAGTGTGTTTTCGTTATACCGCACGAGAACAACACGCTGTGAAAATCGAAACTGTAGCAAGCCTCCTTAAGAAACAACAAGATGTGTTTTAGAAACACAATGCCCCCTTGGTGACCTGGACCTTTGACCCCGTGACCCCTGATGAGGTCGGGGGTAGAGCTCACAAAGGTGCATCCACATACGGTATGAAGTTTGGAGGTTGTCAGAAAAAAAAAACTTCAATGCTATAGATTTATGAAAAAGACCACAGTGACCTTGACCTTTGACCCAGTGACATCTAAGGGTGGTATGGCAGGTACAGCTCATCAAGATACAAACACATGTGAAATAAGAAAGCGTTGGATGAATGATTTTCTATGTTATGACCAAAGCTAATTATGCCTATTTGGGGTCACGGTGACTTTGACCTTTGAACCCCGTGACCCCTAATGGGGTCTGGGGGTAGAGCTCACCAAGGTGCATATACATGTGAAGTTTGAAGGCTGTAAATAGAAAGACTTCAGAGTTATGAGCAAAGTTAATTTTGCCTATTTGGGGTCACGGTGACCTTGACTTTTGACCCCGTAGAGCTCACCAAGGTGCATCCACATGTGAAGTTTGGAGGCTGTAAGTAAAAATTTAAGACTTCAGAGTTATAGCCAAGGTTAAAATTTTCTGACAGACAGACACACACACAACTATATGCCCCCACTTTTTCAAAAGAGGGGGGCATAAAAATACTCCTGAGTATAACTGTTGCATCAACGTTAAAAATGAAAAATAAATATATACACACATACATCTTCACTTGTGATCATCAGGTCCAGTTATAATTAAAAGACAGATTTTATTTAAAGCTTCTCGTGAAAACATTTGACTGATACAATATTGTGAAAAGTGCCTGCAACAAAAACAAGAGCTGTCTGAGGGACAGCGGGCTCGACTATTCTCAGTGCTTGATAGTATAATAATAGCGTTATGTGTAAGAAATATTCTATGTCGAAAAAGTGGCGTAATTTAGTCAAAATGCTTGACAGGGTTATCTACTCTTGTATACAGGTTGGGGTCATGATGGTAAACATGTATTCAAAGTATCAAAGCAATATCTTGAAGGACTTACAAGATATTTGAAATGTTAAAAAAAAATTAACATTTTGTGCAACGCCGACGAAAAAGTGAGTACTATAGCTGGGACTATATAGTCAAGCTAAAAAAACTCAAAAAACATCACAATATGATTTTTACATGATATTTACCAAATAACCGAAAGAATTACAATATGCAGTTGGAAATAGACCTTCCAAGGGCGATTTATTTTAAAGACAATCAACAAAACTTACATGTTTTTACCAGTATCTTAATCTACTTTTGCCTGACTTTTCAATTTTCAGTGTCATGCATACTATCTTTGCCAAATTTTTTTAACATGTTGAAAAGTTTTACCCAAAGTGTAAACAAATAGCTGTAAACTGATTAAAACAACAAAATCTGACCTTATATTTCTGAAAAATTTTAAAAAATAAAAAATCAACATATGTGACACTGGTAAACCCGAAATTTAATTTAAAAAAATATTTAAATGAAAAAATGGGTACAAACCCCTGAAAAAAAACACACACAAGTATTGTAAAGTAAAATAAAAGCAACACAACAAAAAATGTATAAACAATCTAAAAAAGGGTAATTTAATTTAATTAAACCCCGACAAACCCAACCCCTTACCCCTGCAAAAAAAAAGTAAAACAAAAAAAATTTTTTTATTTTTGGGGTTTGGTTTTTTCGTCGCACCAACACAGTGAAGGCTTAAAGGCGAAATTTCCCGCTTTCAGGTGGAGGAAGACACCAGGTGCCCCTCCCCTGCATTTTCAGGGACGAGCCCCGCACCCGATAATACCACCCCACCTTCCATAACAGCTGGATAGCTTTCCCCCAAGAAAGAAACCGAAAAATCCGGGTCTAACCTACAGTGGTGAGAGGCAAGTGATTGCAAGTCAGAGACTTTAACCACTCAGCAACAGAGCCCCCTCCCCCCCCCCCCAGCAGACAAGGTAGGTCAGGCGGAGGGACGGTGGACAATGCGATAAACTACAGTCAGGTGCCAAATTAATGTCCTCACAACAAAATTTCCCATAGACTTGCATGTATTTTCCATCATTTCTAAAACACTCACATCCAAGACATTTAGAGAGTAAATTTCATGAAACTAATTTCATTTAAAAGCTAAAATAATGTGCCTTGACATGAAATGAGGAATGAAAATAAAAGACTGTGACACTGAAAATATCTTTAATACTTTGTTGGATGAAAAGTAAATTACAAATTTTAAAAGTATGCGTCCCATTGACCGCCATGTTTAAATTAAGAAAATATGGCCTTTAAAATTTGATTTCCTGTTCAAAATTATGCATAATCTCTGTCAATTGCTCTAAGTCTTTTATTTTCATATCATTACATTAATTTGGCACCTGTATGTATATGCTGCCCTATAGGAGCATAAAAATACTGCAACTGAATACGACAAAAATAAATGGTTAAATTTTGCTTTAAATCAGCATGTTTCAAGACAAGAAGACAGATTTTCAATAAGCAAACTTAGACTTAAAGTTAAAAAGAAATGTTTAATTACTGACAATCCATGTAATACCTGTAATGTCAGTGATTTTTGCCTAAAATTTACAGCCTTATACCAGCTGCTTCCCAATTGCAAAATATGTCCATTTTCCCCAAAATTTAGTCAATTTTCCCCAAAAGAGATGTCAGTTTTTCCCAAATGAATTGAGCTTAAAAACTTTTGCAGAATTTCTAATCAAAAATGGCTTAAATTTTGGTTAACTATATAAAATCTGAATGAAACAGAATGAATTTAAACACTACCCATTTTGTTTTCATGAGATAAAACCTAAAAAAAATTGTAGATTTAATAAATCCTTTTGAAATTAAATTTTTCCCAATTTCATGTCTGTAAAAAAATAAAAGAAAAAAATAAGTTTTTTTTTTAAATATAAATATGACTGAATTCATAGCTTAAGAACTAAAAACTTTAAACTTGTAGCTTAAAATGAAAACTTCAAAAAATACATAAGTATGTCTGGCTAACAAATTTTAAAGTCTGAAAGGTTCTTCATCTTCTGGTTCATGTTCAGGGCCAGTGTTGCCTGTTTTTTCGCCCACCTCCTCCACGTCTGTCTGGGCATACTTAAGACAATAACCTAATTGCCACATCAACATCCTGCTCTGTACATGGTAAAGTTTTCATGCACATGCTGAAACAAAAAAGGAAAATACACTTAGTAATAAACATCACCTTTTGTAACCAATACCCTTGTCCAAAAATATCTTTTTATTTTGAACCTAAACAGTGCTGTTTTGATATATTATAAGTTGGGTTAAGATATGTATAATTCCAATTTGTAGACATTTCTTTTAACGTGACAAAGTCTACTTTTCTCATCTCCATGCACCACAACATTAATCAAATTTTGAGCAGACTGCAAGCATAAAACATGTAAAATGCAGGTTACAAATAAGTTCAGTCCCCCAACGACACCAGCATAGAGAAAAATTATTATGATTTTTTTTATCAAATTACTTACCTTGATAACTTTAACCAGAGCAGTTTTCTCTCAAAGACATCTTTTGCCGATTTCCTTTTCATATTAAAATTTTGACATAACATCATTTGACATCACCCTAAAACAGAAAAAAATGCCCCTTTCAACTGAAATTAAAACGTTTTTTTACAAAAACTGTAAAAAAACCAGTTTTGGGGGTCCCAATAATTTGGGATTTTTTTAGGGCTTTTGATTTTGGGGGATTTTTTATTTGGGGCCCCTTAAAGGGAAAGCCCCAAAAAAATAAATTTTTCCCCCGCCGCCCAAATTAAAAAACTGTTTAACTTTTTTCTACCCACTAACTTCAATAGAAAATATCAAAAAGTTAAAAACCAAAAGAATATCCCAACCCGATACGTTTGTTGTGAAAACTTCCCCTGATAATTAAAATACAATACACAGTAAAAAGAATGAATTTTTTGATTTTGAAATATCATTTTTTTTTAGAAAAAACCCTTTTTCCTTTTTAACGGTTTTTAAAAGGGGGTTTTCCCCGACAAATTTTAAATAACCATTTTATTGGGTTAGTAAAACATTCGACAACAGTTTCCTACGAACACATTATTACGAAAGTATTTGATATTTAAATTAAAATTGCTTTTGGCGGTCATATAAATTGACGGGATTTAGAATTGGCTGATTTTCAAAAACCGCCAATATAGCCAAAATAAAATCCCCGCCAATATTTCCACTTATACAGTACACGAAAGTACTATTCATGAATACAAACATTTTTATCATATAAACTTTTAACTGTAAAGTAAACACCTGAAATTGTTTTGTATCTGAGTTGATTAACAGATTTAAAGCTACAAGTACGAGTAATATATGTATGTCATTTGCTTTACAACTTATTCATTCAACATCTGGTTTTCTGTGCATGAAACAACCTTAAAAAAAAATTAATTTACTTTTCCATAATCCGTTTAACATTATCTTTCACATTCACACCTCCAACCAATGAAAGTTTCTGCACCTGCAAACAAAGTTAATTATAAAAATAACAAATATCTTTACCATAAATCTTAGAAAAATGGTTCGTGAAGATCAATATTCCTTTTAAGTTGAAACTAAACCAGTACATCAAATCAACAATTTTAAGATGCATCTAAACATAAGCTCCATTTTCAGTCATATAATACACTTGTTAAGGTAGAACAACTGTATAAAAAAATATTTTCATATAGACATATAGGGAAAAATTATGCCCAGAAGTTCTTTAAACTTTGCATGATGTAAGATAATATTACAAACATTTTGAGGGGAAAAAATTTGGGGGTCACCGTGCTTGTTTTTGAGTTATCTGCCCTTGAATATGATTAATATGCCTATTTGGAGCAATTTCAAAGGGCAGATAATTCAACACTATATCATAAGAATAATTTTTTCTCTTTGGTTTTGCATGTTGCATTTAATTCTTACTCATAACACTAATTTTCATGGAAATCTGTTAAATTTTAGTGTTCCTATACTTGTCAAAGCAACAGGACTATCTTTTTTTTCCAAAAAAAAAATATGTGATTTTCACGAAAAATAACAACTAACTTGAAAAAACACACTTACTAAACGCCTTCTTTCCTCTGCATTTTTTATCAACTCTTCAGTTTCATAGAAGTCATCCAAGGTCTTGGCCTGTCCAATACCGCTGTCAGTCTCTTCATCCGGTGGTGCCTGACGACGGCCTTTTAATGCTACCACCTCATTTCTAATTTCTACCAACATATACATAACTTTTTTTTGGAATTCTGAAATTGAAAATATGAAACCATCATAATAAGTTTCAAATTAATCATCTCTCAAAAACCACAATATTTTCCTGTTCCTTTTATATCAGGTCATTTGTTACCTTCAAGTTTAAATCTTCATATGCAATAATGGCTTTCCACCCAAAAAATATTCAAATAACCGAATGGTTGTCCTTATCAAGTTATTACTGTATTCCTAGAAACTTTCCACAGTATTTTTGCGAAAATACAATATTTTTGCACTTTTTCAGAACACCTGCATCAATAATTTTGTAATGTAATGTGTTTTTCCTGTTCCATGAGATCATGTCAATACAAAAAACTATGGCCTTTTAAAGCCAAAAAAATTTTTTTGGTTGCGACATCTGCTTTACATTCAGAGTTCTTACGGCCCGATAACCGGTTGTACGGAGTTTACACCAATTTACTTTCACTTTGGATGACGTCACGCAATGGCTTTCAGGAGAAGGAAAAACGTATATGGATGCTGGTCAGTTACATCGGGTCATTGAGTGTGTAGGGCGATTTTTGGTGTTATATGGATAGGATACCAGGTTCCTGTGGTGTAAGATAAACTTGCCGAAATATTTTACATGTTGTAGACGAAATTTTTTTTTCGCCCGCGCAATTTTTTTAAAAATTTTACGCGGGAACAGTTTTTTTTTGCAAAAAGTCTCTGTCGTCTGTTTTAATGAATAAAAAACATATATAATATCAATGACAATGATTTATTTTTCCTAATACTGGTTTTGGGTTTCTTATCGGGAAAAAATTTTCGTCCATAAAAAACTTCGTCCCCACGTGTTTGGGAATCACCCACGTGACCGTAATTGCATATGGGGATTTCCACAAAATGAGGTCAACACGAAGTGGATTTATGTATCTGTCGGAATAAATGGATATAGCAACTTATGACTGTGAGTTTTCTTGCATATTTTTGTGTTAACTTACATAAAAAGTATTTATCTTATAAAGGCAGTATCTTGTTTTTCGCCGAAAAATATCATTTCCCCCGGAAAAAATGCTTTTTTTACACTATGGCCGCATGCAGTTCGTGGTTAAGACCTGACGTTACGTGAAAATAAAAAATCGTAAATATCAATATAAATGAATAAAAAACCTGAAAAAGTGTTACGTCAGGTCTTATAATATTTAGGACTACCTTATACAGGCTGTAAATTTTGGGTAAAAAAATCACTGTATACAAACATATTTATTGCCATTGTTGAAAATAAAAAAGAAAAAAACTGGTACTGAAAATGACCGATAATCTTTTTTTATCAGAGACATATCAGGTACACTTAATAGTTCTTTGTTTTTATCAATTAAATTTCTTCACTAAAATTTCCTTTTTGATTTTTAAGGTGAAACAAAATCATTATAATTTCCTAGTCTTTTTCCTAAAATTTATCAGTTTTATAGTTCAAAACCGTTAAATATAGAGTATCTAAATCAATGGCGAAATCATTATCAACAAGGGTGTAGTGAGATTAAAACAGTGGTAAATCCAGATTCTATGAGGGAGAGGAGCGAATCGAGAAAGGGGCGAATCGTTACTAAATTTGTATCATACACATATGCATATTGACGGATACCATGTTCAGATTTGTAGAATTTGTAATGCTAGGCACCAAAGGCCCTTAAATAAATTCACAAAAAAACAACAGTTAAATGGGAACTCACTTGCTTTTAATATTTATTTTCGTGAACCAATTCTTTCTCTTTTAAATTCGTACACGCGGTTTTGGTAGCCTCGTTTTGAATCTCGGATAATATCTGTATTTATTTTTTTTTTAAGTTTGTATATTATCGATTACACCCTTAAATGTATTTTTTTCAAAAAACAATTGCACTTGTAATTGACTCAAATAAAAAGTAAAGTAGGAATTAATTTTGAAATGCAACTAAAAATAATATTTCAAACGACACCTGGCGCGGTCATAATTTAGAACAAAGGGCGATTACTGCAGCGAAACTATTCCAAAAGAACGCCGACCTTAATCTAACCTAAATCCGACGTCGCATTGACGTCTATTTATGTTTCTATCCGACGTCGCAATTCCGACGTTGTACAGACGTTGGAATTAGGGCTTCCGACGTCGTGACATAAATCCAATATATATCCAACGTTGGATCGACGTCAGGTGTTTGCTGGGTTAGTTCTATATTTAGTTTCCGATAGAAGCTGAAAAGAACGAATTATGTCAATTTCTGAAATTTAAAAAGCGTTCTTTGAATGATAATATATCTATCAAGATAAGATCATTATACTTTGTAAACAGGACCAGATTTCCTATTTATTGAAATGAACATATATCAGTTCTGATTAATACAACTTTTCGTTGATTTTTTTATATTAATTGTGTTTTTCTTTACTTGATGATACCAACGTGTTTATCTTAAAATATTATGTAAACTCTCAGATAGACAAATAATTTTAAGGTCAACACATTTAACATCACATACTTCTTTTGCCTTACCTTTATTATTGAGACCTTTCTACCATTTTATGAAGATATCTGCGTTTTTGTTAGTCAATGTCTAAGCCGCCAATTTACCCGGCATTTAATGCAAAAAAACATAGATCACGCTAGAAAGACAATATTCCAAGGGCAAAATATTCAGTACTATCATTGTGCTGAGTCAAATTTCGTTATTACATTGTATTATATCCTTAATATTATTATACAAGAAATATTAGTAATAGTCATATAGATTACGTAGGGATATACTGCAAAATAAAGTCACAATGACATGTGTGTGATTAAAGGCGCTAGCCGAATGTCTTATTTAAGGAATTTATAAAAGAATGCAAACGACATGTGTCAAAATTTATATGCTGTATATAGTTAATTATGTTTTTAAAATAAGGTCATTTACTGATCATTCAAACACAAATAACATTGTGTTTCCTTACACCGGCCGTCATAATATTTATACTGTACTGTTGAAATATTTACCGGATTATCAATTTACCGGACAAAAAATTAGCGTTTTATTTTTGTTTCGATACAAAGGTCATCTGGTTGGAATCGATAAGACGCTTATCATTTCCAAGTAAATAACAACAAAAGAACTGTCCTGTAAATATATTGTTGATTCAGTTCTTTATTTACTAACATGCCCTTTTCTTTACAACCTAGTATTGCAAGGGGGATAATCTGTTTTGCGCATGGCAAATATTCAGGCACTGAATGGGTAATATAGGTTTGAATATGATCAGAGTGAAATTTAACTTTAATGTAAATGTGACAAAAATCGGAATCCATGAAGAACGCCCTTAACGACAAAATTGAAAATGTTGCACGCTCAGTTATACCTAAATACTAATGTAGCTGGTTTAAGACTGTACATGCGGATAATAATTAAAATACGTTTTTTTTGTAGCATGTTTTGTTAAATTAATGCTGACAAACGTGCTTTAAAATGGACATTTCTTCTTTTCCATTATCTTTATATCTTATTAGCCGAGTTTGTTATCGCGTTCTATTTTTAAGGATATATATTTAATATAACGGAAAAACTAACATTAATAATTATAAACATAAAATTATATAACTTAAAGGTATTCGACTATTTGCACACGCTATTCATAATTATTGATTAACGTCGTTCTATATACAAGGCAGTATTAAATACCGCCTTATCTTTTTCACATTAATTGCGGACGTTATATATGAGACCGCCAACGTACTGTAATCTATATTGTACTGTCAAGTATCAAATGTTTATTTCTCAAGTGTGGCTCGTTGGTCTAGGGGTATGATTCTCGCTTTGGGTGCGAGAGGTCCCGGGTTCAAATCCCGGACGAGCCCCTATTTTTTCTACTTTTTTAATATTATCGTACAAGTCATAAAATCCATAACATGTAATCTGTCTTAATTTTCTATGAAACGAAATTTTATTGCGTCCTTTAAATAATATATATTTTACACTTTTACAACCTATAACATACACTTTGTTTAAACGAAACATTTTATGAGTTAAATGAAAACGGTTCGGACCTCCAAAATTAAATCATATTCTTTTTCTTTAACAATATAGTATAGAAAACATATAATACAAACATTTCTACTTCAATATTGAAATGTTAATATTTAAATTTCATTGGGTTAATCCATAAAATAAACTTCACTCGGTTTGACACATTTGATTGGTTCGTTGGACTAGGGGTATGATTCTCGCTTTGGGTGCAACAGACTGGTTCAAATCCCGGACGAGCCCAACTTTTTACGAACAATTCAGCAATTTCAATGTTTATATTTTCTTCCCTTTATAAACCTTAAAGAATCGCAACTTCGCTAAAAGTATCATTTTAATAGTTATTATTCCTTTATCATTACAACAAGAGAAACATATCAAAGATATTTTAACCATAAGAAAAATATGGTTAATGGTGTTATAATGTAAAATGTGTAACGGACGGAAGAACGGACTTTATGCTCTGCCTTCCGGGAGATTGAGGCGAGGTGAGATGATATATTACATCATTTAATTAGCAAACATTTTCGGAAAGTGTTTTGATAAACTTTCTTCTGATTTTAAAAACCATCACCAAGCGTAGGTTTTACGTCACCGTCACTTGAGAATAATATTGAGGTTTATTTATACAAATGAAGAGGTCAAGTTGTTTCAGCGTTTTCAATGAACTTGTGAATCTTGCAAACATTAACAAAATAAGTTAAAACCTAGTCTGCTTTTTGAAAACCTCTCTCTAGGCGTTTTTTTTTTTAAATTCCTCAAGAAAAATATTATTTCTCCAGCTAAAATGTAAATACTTGTATTACACAAACAAACATGACAAAATGGCTTTTTTGAATTAATCAGACATTTTGATCCCTCTTTAAATGGTCATCTATAAAATTCATCTATAAAATTCATATCTCACAAATGTAAAAAAAGCTCTCTTAATGGACACAAGTAAAAATCTAAATGGACACAAGTAAAAATATATTAAATTATTTCTAAAGCTTCCGAATTCAAAGTTGTTTCCTTTATATATAATTATCTTCGTTTAATTAATTTGGTTGGTATATATAACTAATGAATTTGACAGACACACTTAAAGAATAGAGAAAAACGGAATCCCTAAAGAAGGCCCAAAACGACAAAATTGAAAATGTTTCAGGCTTGGTTTGATTGAGCTTGTTCATGGAAGGTACTGAAAAGTGCAAGTTAACGCCCACGCCCCCTAACACCGGCTTAAGCAGAATTCAACATTTAGTCAAAAAAGACATTTGTTTCAGTTACATTAAGTTGTCTATAAAACAACACCTTTTCTCTGCTACGCTTACTTATCAAACATATATATAAAAACATCATTTTGCTATGCAGTGACAGTGAGGAATAATTGACAGATATTTGAATAACGAAAATGGACAGCTCGTGTTTTGATTAATGATAATTTCAATACACAACGATAAATGACACAATGTTGTTGACAGCAGCGTTAAACCTGTGCTTAATCAAATAAAGTAATGGAATGATTGATGCTTTTTTAATCCGACAGACATTTACTTTCAGCCACTTCAGATATTAAGTTAATATAAAAAAAAATATGATTAACAAGCAAGTGAAGCCGTTTTATCAGTATGTTATTCCAATATCATTTTTTTTTCTAAAATTGTGACGCTGCTGGTTAACCTATGAATAATTGATAAACGTTTTGTAAGTAAGCTAATTTATATTGCATAAATCTAATTATTTTATATAATCACAAACGTAATATAAAAATAATTACAGACAGTGGCTTTCATTCACTGTTGGAATGTATTTTAAGAATAGCATATAATTACTGCTGCTTGAAAATAACATCGACAGACAATGAAGAGTTGATTAAGTAACGATGCAATACAACACTCTACAACGACTTTTTAATTCATATTAGAAAAAGAAAAGAAATGTAGAAGAAATTGTCTTAATATGGAAATGAAAATGTCTAAGCATATATTAACGTGATTTATAACTTATCATTATTAAGAATACATTAAATAATGTTATAATATCTAAAAAAAATAATCCCTCAAAAGCATTAAAAACAGCAAAATAACACGAAATTTGCAGATTTGTTGGAATGGATCTGTACATAAGAAATAATGAAAAAGTGTATCATCCCTAACGCCCCTAGCACCTGCTTGAGCGGTACTAGATTCTATACACTTAATCGTACTGGACTCAATGATCCCGAAGATATAACATTACAGAAGTGAAGAACAGGGCAACTCTTACGTCTGCCACACAACACTTGACATCTGCTGTTGTACAAACATGTACAAAAAGTACTCGGAAAATAATAAACTTGAACCTTGATAGCCTTTTGTTGGCAGAAATTTAAAGCATTTTTCTTAAGTCTATAGCAGTTTGTGTTTGGAACAGTCCCTTAACATATCATTGCTCAGACCAAGCAATTAATTTGCAGAGAAAAACACCAGTAAAAATGACGTTAAATGAATTCCTTTTACAAACCAAGATATATTTTTAACTAGATATTATTAAATGGCCATTATAATGCTATATACTCCTCATATAGTATTTATTTATTTTTTAGAACTTTAATTCTCTACAATTTGAACACTAATATTTATTTAATTTATTTTTGAGTTAAATCTCAGAACAACTGCGATAATTAATTAGTAGGTGTAGCACCTTTGTCAGAAATACAAACATGTCCTTGAAGAAACTCAAACCAAATCATGATGCCATACAGTGGCAGATAAAACGAATAATTGATTTTGTGTAAGCATTTGACAGGGTATGGTTTGATATATTAACTACACAACGATTTTTGACGCAATTACTGTTGACAATAGTGTTTAACAAGGGCCAAATCAAACACATAAACATAATGATTGATGCTGTGCTAATCTCGCAGACATTTATATCCAGACAATTGAGTAGTGAAGAAAAAGAAGATAAACGAGAAAATGTTAGACATGGAACACATTATCTAATCAATTTGAAATAAAGGTCAAGTTTGAATATCATTTTTCAAAGTATTTTTACAGTTTCCGACTGCATGTGTGAGGAATTGAAAAACAAAGACACATTTCTTTTAAAGTATTTATAAACCACTTACAAGAATCGGACATGTATGAGTTTGGAATACAAAGCTGACATTTATAAATATTAACTTAAGCGTACTTGCATTTCATTTTCG